GAGGATAACAGGTTTCACTGTTGGGATGAGAAGGCAGCAACTGTTTCCCACCTTCTTGTCTCGCTGCTGAAGAATCAGACTGCTTGACACGTGACAGGGTTGAGTGAATTGGGAAGTGAAGGAATGAATGAACGAAATGCCCATAAAACAATGTCTAGTTAGCGGCCGTGCACCTGCCCATCAGAGGAGTGCCTTCCCCGAACGTCTTACGAAAGCCACAGACAATGGAACGGGGTGTTTCAGACTCTTACCAAAGAAAGGGAGAATGGGCGTGGGGCAGGCTGGCAGGCTAGAGAAGGCAGTGGCTCTAGTTGTGGCAGTGGCATGTGTCCTGCTCCAGCTCGCTAGCCCAGGTCCTCCAATGTCTGGCAGGAAAGTAAAAGATGCAGGAAGAATCTCCCAGGCATCACCATCAACCCTCAAGATGGGGTAGACCTAGGATGGAGGCAGCTGCGCTAGGTCAAAAAGGTGGAGATGCAGATGGTGTGAGCAAGGCCAGGGGAGGAGGGAGTAGCTCTCAAACCAGGACAACCCCAGAGTGACACATTTGGACACATATGTGTTTGTGGAGAAGTGAACCTGAACGCTGTTGGCCTCTGTTTTAAAGTCTAATACCCTTTGGGTATTGCAAGCCTGGGGAAATTGGGACCTCCAATCAGGAGCCACCAGGATCTCACTTGCTGGGCTCCAGCCCATCAGACCTCTTGCTGTTCCTTACACAGGTCTGCACTCATGGCATCATTCACATGCAATTCTCAGCCCTTGGGTTTCACTGGGTTGCATCCTTTTTCTTTGCAAGGGTCACCTCCCCTTTGCAAAAGTCACCTTGCCAATTTGATGGATTTTATTTTCTCTACAGCACTTGTCACATTGATGGATTTTATTTTCTCTACAGCACTTGTCAACCTCCACAATAATCTTGCTTACAAACACATGCACTGGATGTCTCCCACTAAAGAGAATACGTTTCGTGAGGGCGGGAACCACGCCTGTTTCACACTTGTGTCCCAGAGCTAGACCAGCTCTGGTCTAGAATTACTTAGTAATTCTGCCTTATGTTCCTGGGGCAAACGCAACTTTGCTGTCCTGCACTGCCCTTCCCTAATACGTGATTAGGTCTGTTTTGTTGAAGCTTAAGCATTAAGTACACACACATATTCATATCTATATAATATGTACATTACACACACATATATGAAGTATTCCCTCTTTTAATTCTGTGGAAGGGTTTGTATAAGACAGAAACTATCTAGGCCTTGGAAGTTTGCTAGAGCCCTCTGTAAATCCTCTGAGCCTGTTGTTTTCCTTATGGGAAGATTTAAAAAAGACTGCTCAGTTTCTTAATAATCCCAAGACAATTCAGGCTTTTTCTTTTTTGGATTACTAAGGCAAGCATTTTAAAAACTTACCTCTGGGAACATCACATTTCATCTAAGTTTCTAAATGAAATCAGGTAGGAGTGGTTTACCTCTGGAGATTCTGGGGCTGTTCATACATATTTACAGTAAAACATATAAAAGAAAAAAGGGTCACTCTTGGACTGGTCAAGGATTAGTTAGTTCAAGGATTTTTTTTGGCAGTACTGGGGTTTGAACTCAATGGCCCACACTTGCTAGGCAGGCGCTCTACCACTTGTGCCCCTCCACCAGTCCCAAAAGAAGGATTTTAATCTGGTCTGTGCACTCAAATTCCATTGAAATTTCCTATTTGTTGAAAATACATGGGAATGAATGAATGTAGCTTAGTGTCTAGGGACAATGGTCCCCATACATAAACTTGCAGGCTCCCAGGGACACAGGCCTGGATGAGAAGTGTCCAGGTGACTCTGCCTTACATTTTCCCCAAGTTCAGACTCTGCAAGAAGGTATTTGAAGATCTCTCTGCCATTTCTAGGATTAGGTAAAAGCCACAGCAAGTTTCCATCAGCACGTTCCTTCCAGAGGCAGAGAAGAAAGACGGAGGGCATCCTAGGAGGGATCGAATTGCCATGAACTAAACTGTGAGCTGAAACTAAAGACAGCCCTGTGGCATGGCTACATTTTCTGCAAATGAAATTATTATGTGACTTATTTTATGTCTGGGTCATTACTATGCTAAAAAGGATAAGTAGATTAAAATGAAAGGAATTTCAGAACAAATGCGGGAAGGAAAGCATTATTAAGTTTTTGGATGTCATGAGCTGTCACAAAGTTTGGAATTAATCATGACACCGTGCAAAATGGTAAAATATTTGCAAGTAAGGAGAAGGTAGAGAAAGCAGAGCCTGCAAATTTCTGCCAGCTGTGCACTTACAACTCAGCCTTGCTGTGGGAGTGTCTGACAAATGGATTTACTATTTTGTCAACTCTAGTAAAGTGTTACAAAACTGCAACAAAACTGTCTCTGTGCAAACAATTGTTTTAACAAGGGTCTTTACCTCAAATGACCTCAAGTCAGGGCTTTCTGGGTAAGCACAAAGCCAGAGAGTAAACTGAAAATATTAGAAATTCTTTCTCTTGAAATTATACTGAACATTAGGATTGCAGGCTTTTTTCCTCCCCAGTTCTTCTCTCAGTCTTTTGGTGTGACAACATTCCTTTAGTTTTTGTAGGGAAAGAGTACAGGGAGGAAGGGACAGGGATATTTGAAGTAGCACTGGAAGGGGCGGGGGTGGTGGGGGGGTGTCCAGAAAAGGAAAGAGGGGAGGTGGGTCCATCATTTAAAGTCTATCAGCTTCATCTACATATAGGCAGGAAACACTTGTCTGTCCTGACCAACTCCCAGAAGTGATGCCTTGCTACTTGAGAAAAGTATAGGGTGAAACTGGAGCTCTGCTCCCCTCCCACCCCCATGAGCAGTAAAATCTTAGAAACCTCTCATCTTTACACTTTATCAGAACCTCAGGGGAAGACATTAGCCGAAGTCTATGTGTGATCTTATGGATTTTTCTGGAAAATGGGACTAGGTCAAGTTCTTTGAACATTTCTTTAAATCCTGAAACTAAATTCATAAAAACTCACTGTTAGAAACCCAGGAAAGGAGTTAAGTAGCTTTTTCAAGAGTCCTTGAAAAAGGACTGAGTCCTTCACGACTCAGTGAAGGATAATGTGTCAAAGACTACATTTAAATTTAGAAGGGTTCTCTGGCTTTGAGAAGGATGTTCAAATAACGCAAAGCTAATTTTGCAGGAACTTTGTCAAACTTGTTAAAAAAACAACAAAGGGAAGGGAGGCAACAAAGCACCTGCAGGTGATCCGCACTGTTACCCACACCAAGTTTTAGGAGCCCTAGGCGGGTCACCTTCTGCACTTGGAGGCCTGAACTGGAGTCTAATCTCAATCTTCCCTGTGCATGTCTAACCCCAGTCACCTTAGTCACCTTTTCATCGGGGTGGGGGAGGGGGTGTTACAGTCGCTTCCAGTTTACTGATGAAATTGAGGCTATGGCTTAGTGTTCTCTCTCTCTCTCTCTCTCTTTCTCATATACAAACACAGAGTAGCTTTTAAAAAGTACATAAACCAACCCAACTCAAACTAAAAATAACTTTCAGCAACGCTGTTACTATAGATTAGAATGAAATGTCGCCGCTCCCCCTTCTCCCCCGCAATTCCGGAGGATGTCAGTCACGGTGGACCCAGCCTCAGGAGCAGAAAGAGGGACAGCCTCTGCTGGGGGCGCCAGCGGCCCTGCCATAGGTCCGGTAAACCGGGAGAAGGCGCCCCGCCGGCACATTCCTCTGGAAAACCGAAGCGTTTTTCTTTGAAGCTGGGGTCAGGAAGATTTACGACTTCCTCCTCGACGGACAAACCACAGACCAGCTGGGAAGGGCGAGCAGGGTGTCCGTCGAAAGTCTGGGAACCGCGATGCTGGTTCTGCCGGCGCTCCGGGACGCGCGGTGCGTCTTCGGCTCCCGCAGGGGACGCCGGTGTCGACCCCGGGGACAGAGCGCAGCGTGTGGCCGCCGAGGGATTTCTGCCCAAACTTTAGCACCAACTCTTTCCGAGGGCGAAACGAGGGGCCGCGGCCGGCAGTCACTCAGAGTCCAAGTTTCTCGCTGCGCATCCCGCATCCGCGCCCCGGCTCGGTGCGCGCGGAGAGCCACGGCCCGGGACCCGCGGCTGGCGGCCCCAGCAGGGCCGCTGTAAGGCGGGTGGCACCTCCAGCCCCCAAGGAGGCGGCGGCGGGAGTCGGGAGCCGCGAGGAGGGCGGGCCGGGACGGGCAGAGGGGGAGGGCGGCGCGGCGAAGGGGAGGAGCCGCGGCGACAGACGGCGGCGCGCACCAACCCGCGGCGGGCAGGCGGGAGCCGCGCAGAGGCCGGCCGGGCGCGTTGCGGGCGCCGGGCGTAGGGTAGGGGGAGTCGGAGAGCATCCTCCTCCCGGGAGCCGCTTTCGCGCGGCGGCGGCTGTGGCGGCGGCGGCGGCGGTGGGGACTGCTCCGCCCGGATCCCTCGTTGGCCAGAAGCTGCGGGCGCCGGGGGCGGGGCGGCCAGGGGATCGCTGCGGCCCTGGGCTCCTCTGCCTACAGCTGGATGTGCAGGGACCTTGCGGGCCAGTCCGAGGCCACGGAGCGGCGGGACTTGCCTGCGCCGCCCTCCCGGGCATCCTCCCGGTGATGGAAGCCGCCGCCACCGCCGCCCCTGCGGGCTTGTGCTGCGCCCCATCCGCCGCCGCCGCCGCCGCCGCCGGAGATAGGGACAGATTCGCCGTGCGGAGGCCGGGAGCCAGCGAGAGGGAGCCTCTCGGCCGGGAGCTGGGTCCCGTGTAAGCCACCCTGCCCCCCCCCCACCACCGTCGCCTCTAGCCCGCTTCGCTCCCCGGAGCCAGGAAGGAAGCTGCGGTCCCGAGAGAGTGGAGGAGACGTCGCAGGAGCCGGGACGCACCGGGCACGGCGGAGCGCGGAGCAGGGCTCGGGGCCCGGTGAAAGTTTCCCTTCCCGAGCCGCAGGGCGCCCGCTGCCGGGAAAGTCTGCTCAGGGCTAGGGCTGCGCAGTCCCGCGGCCCCCTCGGAAGCGCGGGGACCCCCAGCAGAAGACAGCAGGAGAGGGATCGAGGAACGAGTGACAGCCGGAGAGTCCGCACATCGGCGACCCCGGGACGCTGCGGGGCGCGCCCGCCCCTTCAGGTGAGCGGGGAGACGGCGGACCCGAGGGTGGGCGGAGGAGGTAGCCGGGAAGGAGATCGGGGCGCACCCACTCACTCCGCTTCCCCTCGCAGGTCCTGCTCGGAGCCGCTGCCATGGGAGAGCCAGCTCTGGGCGCTGGGGAGCACCCGCCGCTGCCGCCGCGCCCGCCTCGGATCCGCGGCCCCAGCCCCGCGCCCGCAGCCGGCCCGCTGTCCCCTCCCCGGGCTGCAGGGCCGCCTCCACCGCCTTGCCGGCCCGGGCTGTGCCTGTGATGAGCCGCAGCTCGCCGCGAGCCCTGCCCCCGGGCGCGCTCCCCCGGCTGCTCCCGGCTGTGCCTGCAGCCGCGCCGCGCGCCCTGCTCCCGCCGTGGCCCGGCGCCCAGGACGCCGCTGGCCTGCGTCCCCGCTCGGAATGAAGGTGTTCCGCAGGAAGGCGCTGGTGCTGTGCGCGGGCTATGCACTGCTGCTCGTGCTTACCATGCTCAACCTCTTGGACTACAAGTGGCACAAGGAGCCGCTGCAGCAGTGCAACCCCGACGGGCCGCTGGGGGCCGTGTCCGGGGCAGCCGGGGCCGCCTGGGGGCGCCCGGGCCGCCTCCTGCCGCGCCACCCCGCGCGCACAGCCGCTTGGACCCTCGCACTCCGTACCGCCCTCCCGCCGCCGCCGCCGCCGCCGTCGGGGCGGCTTCTGCAGTCGCGGCGGGGGTCCTGGGGGCCGCGGCTCCTCCGGGCAATGCCTCTCGGGGCGCCGGGGGCGGCGGGGACAAGCGGCAGCTGGTCTATGTGTTTACCACGTGGCGCTCGGGCTCGTCCTTCTTCGGTGAGCTGTTCAACCAGAACCCCGAGGTGTTCTTCCTTTACGAGCCGGTGTGGCACGTGTGGCAGAAACTGTACCCGGGGGACGCTGTCTCCTTGCAGGGGGCAGCGCGGGACATGCTGAGCGCGCTTTACCGCTGCGATCTCTCGGTTTTCCAGCTGTATAGCCCCGCGGGCAGTGGGGGGCGCAACCTCACCACGCTGGGCATATTTGGGGCAGCCACCAACAAGGTGGTGTGCTCGTCGCCGCTTTGCCCCGCCTACCGCAAGGAGGTCGTAGGGCTGGTGGACGATCGCGTGTGCAAGAAGTGCCCGCCTCAGCGCCTGGCACGCTTCGAGGAGGAGTGTCGCAAGTACCGCACGCTGGTCATCAAGGGCGTGCGCGTCTTCGACGTGGCCGTGTTGGCGCCGCTGCTTCGAGACCCAGCCCTGGACCTCAAGGTCATCCACCTGGTGCGTGATCCTCGCGCGGTTGCCAGCTCGCGCATCCGCTCCCGCCACGGCCTCATCCGGGAAAGCCTGCAGGTGGTGCGCAGTCGGGATCCCCGAGCCCACCGTATGCCCTTCCTGGAGGCCGCCGGCCACAAACTGGGCGCCAAGAAGGAGGGCATGGGTGGCCCAGCTGACTACCATGCCCTTGGCGCCATGGAGGTCATCTGTAACAGCATGGCCAAGACACTGCAGACTGCCCTGCAGCCCCCGGACTGGCTGCAGGGCCACTACCTGGTGGTGCGGTACGAGGATCTAGTGGGGGACCCCGTCAAGACCCTACGGAGGGTGTACGACTTTGTGGGGCTGCTGGTGAGTCCTGAAATGGAGCAGTTTGCTCTGAACATGACCAGTGGCTCCGGCTCCTCGTCCAAGCCTTTCGTGGTGTCAGCACGCAACGCCACGCAGGCAGCTAACGCCTGGCGGACGGCGCTCACCTTCCAGCAGATCAAACAGGTGGAGGAGTTTTGCTCCCAGCCCATGGCGGTGCTGGGCTACGAGCGGGTCAACAGCCCCGAGGAGGTCAAAGACCTCAGCAAGACCCTGCTTCGGAAGCCCAGGCTCTGAGAAGGGGGTCCCAGGGGATCTGATGCCCTCTGGGGACACCCATAAAGAGGACTACGTTGTGTTTCAACAAACACAGCCCAGACCCAAGCTGAGGACGCCCACATAGTCTATTATAGATGTGTAATATAAATAACCACGCGGGCACTTGCTGTCAATGTTTTGAGTCAGTGAATTTCAAGGAACACACACACACACACACACACACACACATGCACACACATGCACACACTCCTCAGAAAAGGCAAGACTTGAAAGTTCTGACCAGTCCTCCCTCCGCTCCTGTCCCGGTTTCCCCCTCCTCCCCTTTTATCCCACTTCTTATCCTTTCCCCCACCTGCCTTCCATACTGAGGTGGAATGGTGATAAAATCAAGTTCCAGTAACCCAAATCTTGTTTACAAAATTTTTGTGGTATCTGTGAACATGTATAAGAGTCATTAGGATTGGGGGTGGGCTGGGTGGAGAAAGGGGAAGAGGTCCAGGAACAAAAACTCCCTAGGTGTGATAAACTGAGCAGGCATTCTTCAGAAGTTGACTTTTGTGTAAAAACAAAGGTGACATGTGAGTATTAATAAAGAAGATAATAAATAATATTCTTTTTTTATATTTGCCTCCGTTCCTTTGGATTGACCTGTGTTACAGTTCTTTATAATTTCAGATCACACCTGCTCCCCCACCCCCATGTCCTGGAGGACAGCTGAATGGGGAGAGGCTTCTGGCTCCCCAATAATAACCTGGGAGTTGATTTCTCATATGTAAATCACAGCCTGCCCAGTGCCCAGGAATGGGACAAATCTCCACATTGGACAGGCATCACTGAACAGGGCGGTAGAAGAAAAAGCACACACCATTCTCCCATTCAGCTTTGAGTTGGGAAAGGAGGAAGCAAACCCCTGGAGGGTTTGAAAGCAGGTGGTTCTGATTACTACTGTATTGAGTTAAGATGGGGGACCCAGAAGCAGAGGGCGATGTTTTTGTTCTGAGGTTGGTACAGAAAAAGGATTGTGTACGATTAGAAAAAGTTTGATGTTTAGAATACAAGCCTCAAAAATGAGTATGACCCTGTCGCTGTTGATGGCAGCAGCTTCTTTGGTTAGCAAAGTGACACAGTGACAGAATTATCTGCAGTGTTCTTTTCTTTCTTTTTCGCCTTTGACACAGTGTCTGGAGGCACAGGAAGGCAGGGAAGTTTTATCTGAGAACCTTCAGGGAACCCACAGGCTTTCCCTCCCAGTCCTTGCTTCTCATCCAAACTAGCACAAAAGTGAATAGGATTTTGTAGCTTACTTGGATGCCGTGTGTAAGGAACTTCTTTGTCATGTTCCCTAAAAGTAAATTTGCAAAGAAAATACCATGTTACAGACACTGTAAGGCTCTGGCAAAGAGCTTCTTTTAGATATGAAAATGAATTATGGGGAAGAGGAAGTAAAAAATCTTAGCGTGTAAGATTTTGATAATTTGGTATTTTCCAGGGAGAAAACCATTGAGCTTTCCTGCCGTAGTTAGGCTGTTTCTGTGTCCTGACCCAATTCTGTGCTGAAGTACTCTCTCTGTTCAACATCATAGTGTGGTAAGAAGTTGTGAAGCCCAGTACTATACATAGCTGTGTATTACGTTAAATTCACCAAGTCCAATTTCAATATCATCAGGGCTTTATTTCCTTATAGTTCATTTTGAGATTTCTGAAAGACAACAGGAATAGCTAAGATGCGGAAGATTTTGTTTCAGGGAAAATGTTGAAAACAATATGTATATGGGAAATCTTTTGGTACAAGGTGACTCGTAGGTGTGATTGTCACTCAGTGTGAAATCTAACTACATTGGTAAGAATTCTACAATGAATAAGCATATAGGTTTTAACCTATATGGATTTTATAATATTCTAGAGTGAGTGTTTCTTAATTTACCAAAATAGTTTCTAGTATTGTGTTTATTAAGCTAGATTACAGCTATAATATATCCATCATATTTTTCATATTTTTGTGGTAATGCCTGGGCTGAGTTATCTTCGGCAGCAGTAGAATATTTGGAAGAGCTTTAATTTAAGAATACTTTAAAATTAAATGAACAAAATAAATATTAATGTTGGATGACTAGCGATGAAAAGGGTTTAGCAGGAAATTAAGATAGCATCATTAAAAAGCAACCACTCTGAATAAAATAACCATTTAAAAACAAATTTCATGTGGTACAGGATGAGTTCTTATCAAGCACAGTGAAATTCTCTCCTGGTTCTTGAGCAAAGAATTTTTAAGCGGCGCACTCCAAGGACTGGGATTGCACTCAGGTACAATTATGAGGCTTTTGGATCTTGTATTTAAAACTCGTTAGATGCTATACCGCGCCTTTGTGGCCTACAGCACATTCAAGGCCTCTGCTCAGATGAAATTTTAAGCCAATGCCAACAGTTCACCCTTTCACTGTTTGCACAGGGTTTCTGCCTGCAAGTCCCTTGTTTTGTAGCAGCTGTAGTATTCTCTCCACTCTGTCACTCTTGGGCTCTGTGATTTGAAAAGGTGAATTTTTGCTCCTGGACATCTGCACCTAGCTGCATTCTAGGAAAGTGAGAAGGGTGTTAAGGCTGAGATAGTCGAATCAGTGGCATTCAGCTTCCACAGCTGAATGAGAAGGACAGAAAGATTTTTGGTGTTAACAAGCTCCTGTCAGTCCTGGTGCAGGCAGACCTGTGGCATGAACAAATTGCAAGAGCGCCTGGGACCAGTTCAGAGACAGCATGGATGCAAGAGCTCCTCCCTCATTTCCCAACCCTGCAAGGTGCCCATCAGCAGGAGGAAATATTCTTCAGAGTGGGTTATCAGAGTGATTTTTATTTTTAAGTTCTGCTCAACTGCACTGTGACTTTGGGATATATTTGTTTGTTAGAAAGCTCTATTTAGAAAATGAAGTCCGTGCCATGCATTTAGTGAACAGTATGAGCTTGGACAAGGCGGAGGCCCAGGCTGGGTGCTTGGGTTTCAGGAGGTCCAGAGCTACTCAAAGGCTGCATTCAGGCTGACCCATGGGACACCTGGCAGGCAGGGATCAGAGTACATCTGTACTCTTCAGCGTCCTCTACACACTGAGTACTGGATAAATATTTATTAAATAAGTGAATGAAATATGTGAGTATCAAATTTTGAAAGCACTCAGAGGGCAGGAGTAAAGGAATGTGGTACCTGTTTGGAGAAAATGCCAGCTACTCAGCAGTTTGCTGATGGAAGTGGGCTCTATGTAGATGTAGGGTGTGAATTCCAGGTGCATCTTTGAGATTCCCAGGGTGAGTGAGCACAGACCAATACTTCCCACTGAAGAGTTAGAAAAAAAAATTGCAGAATTGATGAAGGTGGAGAGCTAAAAGTTTCAAAATAAGGAATTACTTTTTTTTTTTTTTGGTGGCAGTACTAGGGTTTGAACTCAGGGCCTTGCACTTGCTAGGCAGGCGCTCTACCACCTGAGCCACACGTCAAGCCCTTTTTTTTCTGCTTTTGGTATTTTTTTCCAGTAGGGTCTCTCACAGTCTATGCCCAGGTCAGACTGGACAGTGATCTTCCTAGTTATGCTTCCCAAGTAGGGGGATGATAGGCAAATGCCACTGTGCCCACTTTTTTATTGGTTGAGATGGTGGGCTCAAGTACTTTTCAAGAGGGCTGGCCTAGATCTCTGTCTCCTGAGTAGCCAGGATTACAGGTACGAGCCACGGTGCCTGGTTTGGGAATTATGCTTTTAATATTTGCTCTCCTAATTGCGTGAACAGAAGAAACACAGAGACAACCTGTAGAACAAATGAGGTCCAGAGGCCTAGGAGAAGGCTATGAAGTTCACTTTCACAGAAGCCTTGTGATTGCTGTTTTAGTGCTGCGAACATGCAGACTGAAGGACTGCAGTGTGAATTTTACCCAGGCACAGGAATGACTACTCTTGACGTTTTTCCTTTGTAATGCTGAATAAGACAATGCCTGTATCTATGCATTGCCTGCCTGCCTGCGGCCAGTTCCTTCCAGGATTGTTGTCACCTACAGTACAGTTGTGGCTGGATTAAAGTGCTGGTTTGAAATTAATGTGAATTTGGATGAGACTATTAAGTTCTCAGACCCTGGGAACTGGGCAATTAAGTAATGATTATGTTTGAAACCCAGTCACTAGACATGGCTTCAGGAATAGGAAGAGTGAAAAAAAAGATGTTTCTTATTTGTGGTCATAGTAAACAGGGATGAGATGTCACTTTAATCTCCCTCTCCAACCTTCTTCTTTCCTTACACACAGTGTACACGCCCACGTGTGCTTGTGGGGACACACGCTATTGTTGAGTTCCTGTGTTGTCTTGAAGGAGCCTTGACAAGAGATCACTGCCCCCCCACCACCCTTTTTGTGGTGTTAGGGATTGAACCCAGGCTCTTGCACATGCTAGGCAATGTGCAAGCCACATCGCCAACCAAGAGAACCTTTTAATACCTGCTAACGGGTATATGGTGAGTTGACTTTGATCTCAGGTCTCTGGAGAGTGAGTGGCCAATTATTCTATCAGAACCTGTGACAATTTGGTGTCAAGATCCAATGTGGATAGGTAGAAAATGACAAACTCAATTTGAGAAATGACTCCAGGTGTGTGATGGGATGTCCCCAGGTAGATGCATTGTTTACAGACCCCTTTTGTCACTCACCCTGAGGCAAGCCCTTTCAAATCTGTCATGGCTAAGAAAATAATTTTTTGAAATGCTTTCCCTCCTTCCTGGACATTAGGCTGTACTTTTGCAGTTCAAGTATGAGCCACTGAAGTGCTCTGGGATGGGCTATGGTACAAGTGTTTAATAATTGAGATTATAAGATTTGACTTTTATTACATCTGATACAATTCTCACCCTTAATCAAATTACACTAAAGAAAATGTGAAATCTTGCAGAACACATCAAGTTTACAGAATGGGAAAGTTTATGACCCAGTGTTTGGGGATGGTGTTTATGAACTTGAAGGAGCTTTGTAGGAGCCCATCACTTGGTGACAGAGTGATAATGAGGCTCAAGGTCAAAGCTTAACTTGTGGTCAAATCAGTTATCTGTGAAGAAATGGCAAAAGTATTTTGGGGCTGCTTGAACTGTTGGCTTGTGGTAGTCACCCTGCCAAATGAATGATGGCAAAAATAATCACCGCAAGGCAGATGCTGGTGGCTCACGCCTGTAATCCTAGCTACTCAGGAGGCAGAGAGCAGGAGGCTCAAGGTTCAAGACCAACTTGGGCAAAATGAAAGTTAAGACCCTATCTCAAAAATACCCAACACAAAAAAGGGCTGGTGAGTGACTCACATGGTAAAGTGCCTGCCTAGCAAGAGTGAGGCCCTGAGTTCAAACCCCAGTGCCATTAAAAAAAAAAAGTCACTGTAGCTAAAAGCTATACTCAGAACCATTTTGAAACAACTTACATCCCAGATAGGTAGATAGGGCTTGATTGAAATTCAACTTGAAGTGGTTAGTTTTCTGGACAGGACCAGCTACATAATTTGCAAAACTCAGTAACAAATGAAAATGTATTGTT